AAAATTGTGAGAAAGAGAAAATGAAATGAAGAAAAGATTGTAAGGAAGAAAGGCTGGTGAGAGACATGGGATTATGACAGGTGAGAGAAGCTGCATGATGGTTTCTTGGTGCCAGAGGAGCTCAGAGTAAATTAACAAGGGACATGTCTGCCATTGGGAAGCCTGTGGAAAGCCATGAGTCACAGTTCACATGTAAAATACTGCAAGTGGGATACTGGTAATACACTGAGGGGTGGCAGAAGTCAGAAAGCTGCTAGATGACTGGTAAAAATTCTATACAGATATGTGTCACAATTAATCTTTAGGTACTACTTTGAGGTCCCAGGTTTTTGAAATTGCTGTTTTATTCTGCTTTTTCTGTTAATCTTTGTGCATTTCAGGTCACTAAATAAATAAATAAGCATTTAAATGAAAAAGTAGTAACGGTGTTAAATGATGTACTTGAAATGGTGACTTTTCTTGAGATGTCTGTTTGTAGTTAGTGTAATGGAATGGCTGACAGCTGGTTTCAGTTGCCATAGTATAATTATGTAGAATAGACTTTTGCGATGACACTATGTCAATTAAGGAATCTCTCACATTCCAGACTACAAAGGACAAAATGACAGTACAAGATATTTTTTCCGTTATTTTTCATAAAAAGATAGTGACACTGTGTGAAATTACAGTCCTGTTATGATGACATAAGTCAAATGATGTGAAAGATTTCTGGACTGATTAAAAATCATCAGCATTATAATATAGAATATGTATAATTTGATAAGCTGCTGTTATGTTTTGTTCATTCTACTTTGGAAGATATTTTGGTGGGAGGGCTGGCATGGTGGCGAGTTTTCTTGTTGTGTTTGAAGTGGTGTGTGTCAGAGTAAAAATTACTACTTACATAACAATAGGCAGTTTTAAATCACTATTCTTTGGATTGTGAAGATATTTTAAGACAATACATCTTGAATAAATTTTAAAGCCAAAAACTTCCACACAATATGAATTTGGATGAAGGGACGTGAAATTTTTCCATGTTTTTGCTATGTCTTTTTCTCTTTTTTTTCTTAATTTAATCCAAAGGAAAAAGAAATTTACACGCTTTTCTATTTTCCTTTGAAGCATTCACTGTATCCCCAAATCCTTGCTAAGTCAATGTTTTCATGCTTTTACCCAAGGCACAATAATGCATATTTTTCATTGTTTTAAGGAAGAATGCTATCAGAACACCCTGACACATGTGGAATTTGTATAAAAAGCTCTTAAATAGAAAGAAAATATTCTGTAAGCATTTCCTGATAGTAAATGCAATTTCTTCTGTTCTCAGTATCGATCCTACATGTTTTAATAGTTTTTTCTCTCAAGTAAAAAACAGTCTCATTTGCATGCAAATTATATAATGCCTCCAAATGATACAATGTGGTGATCCTCCTCTGCCTGGTTTCCGCTGATTATTGATGTCTGTTTAAGGCTTGTTTCTGTTCTGTGTTAGCAATGTAGTATTTATTGACATTTTGATGTAGGAAACCACAAAACATCCTATCCAGCCAGATTAATTTATTTCTGTGGCAACGCAGAGGAAAAAAGATTCTATGAACAATGGCACGGGCAGGTACTTATTGAATAAAAAAAGTAAAAACATTCTAGTTCTGGACTTGGTTCCTCTGTGGCATCTTCAGGAACTAGTCAAGAAACTCAGGCTCATCTTTATTACTTCAGCATCTTTAGAAAATACTCCAAACTATTAATGCAGTTTTCATCATTCCATGCCCTAGAGTAACTTTGTCATTTTAGTAAAGTCTTTCTCCCTTTAATTCTGATCTCTTCCTCTCTAAAGCATGTGGGATTTAGGTATGAACTTGCAACATCTCATGACTTCCAAAACCAGGATCTCACTTTCTTCACTCCATCTTGTTTTCTGCAGATTAATAGTCCAGTGGCACTTGGTCTCACCCACATTAGGACTTCAGTGCCAGCTTCCTGCATAAATAATTCCAGCAGGATGCCTGGGAATTGCTATCCCTAGATATCTCCAGAGTAAGGCAGGACCTTGTTCCTCTACCCAAAGTGGCCCTGCTCCCATCTGGAAGCCACAGGCTACTTTAACATTTTATTTTCTCTTTCTGTACCTTGCTGCTGCCTGAATTCACTGCTGTGACAGCTTTGGAGAGAGACTTCTCCTACATCTGTGCTCCATGACATAGTTTTGCTCAAGTTTTGGCTTGAATTTGCAGAAAGAAAGTATGCCAGCTGTGTTGACATTGACAGTGGTGGCAGAGCTCAAGTTGAAGAGTTATTTTACAGGTAGGCAATGAAATTAAGTTTAGAAAGGAACATCTTAGTGGCTTTGCTTTCTAGGCATAATAATTAGCTTTGTGTATTGATTTTAATGAAAAAGTGTAAGGATGTTGGAAATTCTTAATTAAGTTACTTAAATGAAAATGCATGTATTACTTTGTTTCATTGAAATAGTCAAAGAGATTATAATAATCATGGACAATGCAAGAAGGGAAAAATAAAATTCTTATTCTTCATGAAATATTAAACTAAATGAAAATTATTTGAAAACAATTTGATCTATAAGTTATTGGAAAAAATCCCTATTACTAGTTTTTGGTTTTTCCTTTAGAGTGGAAAAAGGAAGGGCTTGATGTAAGTGCCAGTGGAACAGACATCTAATGCTAGTTAAGATGCTGCTTTAGAAGGATGCGGCTCTCCTGCAGTGGTGGTGACTTCTGCCATCTGCTTGGGGATGTGTTGGACACGCTGGGATCTCCGGTACAACTAGACTTTTGTGTTTTGGCAACTGAATTGAGGCCATGACGTCTTTACTAGCCATTTTTAACAGCTTTAATGATCTCAGATGTATTAAAACAAAATCATTCAGATACTGACAGAGCAAATATATTTGCTAATACATATAACTTCTCTTTAATATTCCTTTATTTTGTGAGTGAAATAAGTGAGAATGATAAAGCACCTACCAGCCACCACAGGCAAAACACTTGAAAGAAGTATTTCCCAGAACAGCTGGGTAAGGGGATTGCTTGTTCAGGCAACGCTAGAATTTTGATGGATTTTCATAGTCTCTAAGAAAATTCTTTGAAAATGCACACAGGTGTCTGTTGTGCTGCCAGGTGATAGACAAGGGCTCATGCTGTGGAGTAGACAGCAGCATCTGTAAGCAGAAGGTCCAGTTACCTCTACAAATGCATTTCTTAAACATTGGCATCCTCTTGTGAATCCCTTGCTGTTTCCAGAGAATCTGGCTTAAGAATGTTGTGCTCGGTCCTTTAACGTGCCTGGAGATGAATTCGACTATTCCAGACCAAACATAAATGTTGTTACCCATTGTCTGTTACACAACCAAATCTCAACGCTATTTTTATTCAGAGCTGGCTTCGCGCTCTATGCAGCGTGGTGTTTCCTTTGATAGCACTTCTATGTACCTACTACTTGACAGAAAATAATCTGCGTCATTGCATAGGGTCTGCTCTGATGAAGTTCTTCATGTGTTATGAACTCTATCTTCTGGCTGTCCTGAGTCAGCTGTCTTCCTGGCATAGGGTGACAAAGAAAGAGATTTATTATGACCAAACAATTTCAGGTTCATGGCAATGTTTGAAGATTACAATGTGGGAGAGGTGGATGGAAGGGGAAGGAAGTGATACTATTCTTTCATTTCATATTTATTACTCATTTGAAGAAAGCTTGGATGAGATTCTAGCACACTAATTGCTTGCTGAAGAAGCTTTTGTGGACCCTCAGCCTTGTGCTAACTCAGTTATTGCCTCCAGTAGCAGTGTATCAGCTTCCCCTGAATAGCAGTGGCTATAGAAAGCTCTAGAAATGTCTCCTGGAATTTTCTTGATGCAGTATTTGGAGAAGGTGGGCAGAGGTGGCAAGTGAAGAAAAAATCTTGGATGTACAGAAGAAAAGATAGGGTGTAAAAGCTTGGCTTTGATTAGGTTATAATTTCATTAATGCAAATGGAACTGTGTGAAAATTTACCACAAATTAGATATAATGCAGAATTACCATCAGTAGTTCACCTCTGAATGACATTTCACTCCACTGCTGGCGTTTCCTCTGGCATTCCCTCATAAGGGAATGGTGCAGGCTAAGAAAAAAATGGTTCGTTTTCTCACTGTGCCAAGCTCTGGGAGTCTGCTATCCATTCCTCAAATTTTTAGCAGGGAAAGAAATCTTGCTAATTCTCATCTATTGGGAAGTTCTGCCTTCTCTAAAGATGTGCTCTGAATATTGAGCAGCTGCTAAATTGTGACAGCTTTACTTGTACATAACCTCTTGGATCTGTTCCCTGTTTTGCTACTTGGGAAAACAGGTAAATAAATGACTGCCGCGATCAGTCTGCTGTTAAGAAAGAAGTTCAAGAGAGTCCAGTAGCTCAATGTCCCCAGTTAGTCACAGGAAACCTGTTCTCATCGCAGGCCTGGGACGGTTGGTGCTCCTGATCTGCTGTGAAGGACAGGCAGAGCCTCAGAGCTGGTGTGCACACACGTGTGCAATAAGCTGCTCATTCCCTGGGTCATAAGGGAGGGATGATCTAACTGTCACTTTCTGGTCAGCTGTCCAACAAGGTTGCAATTCAGCTACTGCTCAATTGACCTAGAAATGGAGACGGCATTTACAAGTGTGTAATGCAGGCACAGTGTTTTTCCAATGCAGATTTGTTATACCACTAGGAATCTTGCAAACTCATTAGAGAAATCAGTGTGTTACAATTTTTCAAACTAAAAATAAAACTTTTATCTTAGTATAATCATCATATTCTTCCAGTATTTTTTGCAGTCCTTTTGAATTGTTTTTTCTGGTCTATGTATAGGAATTGTGCATTTAAGTGAGGTCAGTAATATCTGTTATTTCAGTTCTTCTGCTGGTCAACTGAAGAAAAAGTATTTTGCATTTCCTCTGGAAATATTCACTTTCCTGATTTGTGACTTTATTGTTGATTTTGTGTGTGGTGTTTTTTTTTTTTTTTTTTTTTTTTTGTGCAGAACTATTATGGAGCTGCCAAAATGATTCTTTCTGACAATCCACTTGGCCTCACCTGTGGAATGGTGTGTCCAACTTCTGATCTGTGTGTCGGTGGCTGCAACTTGTACGCCACGGAGGAGGGACCGATTAACATTGGTGGATTGCAGCAGTTTGCTACCGAGGTACGTAAGGGCTGCTTGTGGCTGAAAGCCTTCGCGTGTGTACCAAGGAGGGTTGTTGAAGTGGTTGCGTTAATGGTTTGTTCAAAAAAGCTGGTACTGCTAAAATAAGTATAGGAAGTTAAAATAATTATCCATTCAGAAGCTTAGAAATGCTTTCATAATAGAGTACTTGATAGGAATATAGGGCTAATTATTTGTGAGCGCGATGGCTCTTTACAAACACTTGTGTTGAGGCGATGGATAGGGTAGCTGATAGGTGAAAATATGCAAGTTACTGAAGTAGCCTACATAGAAGGAAAGTTAAGTGCATCCTGTAACTGCCCAGCGAGGAGATGCAGAACTGCTCTGGCCATAGGGCAGTTCCTGCAGCAGAACGTGTCGCTTGTGCTTTGTGTTGAGCCCTTGGCTGGAATGTTGCACCGTTTGCAACAGTTTGAAGTCTTGAACTAGACTTTCTGCAACCCCTATGGTAAAGGGAGACCTGGTGTCACATACTGAATGGATGGATAGAAGATTGTATTAACTTCCAGGAATACTTGGTGCTTTCTCATCTTCTTTCTTACATCTTTCATTTTGTTTAACTTTTTTTTATGGATGAACTGCTTAGATGTCTTTCCATTTTAAAAGTTTCTTTTTTCTTTCTTTTATGCAGCAAAGGATCTGCTTCAGTATTTGAAGGTAATTTTCTGAGGACAGCATGGTCTAGCACTTCTAAATTTTGGTGCATTAAAAAAAACCCACAAAATTTAATGTATGCGTTGGAAAATTAGAGAGAAAGAACCAATTCACATTTCATCCCCAAAGTGTTATTTTCCAAAGTAGATATTATAAGACCTGCGATCAATAATAAAAGGAAAATGGCTATGTCTAGATGCTGACTTCACTGACTTCTCAGAAAAGAAATTTGGTTGCATTTTAAAAAATTCAAGTGCTGCTTGTAGTAGAGAACAAATAGTAGCGTTTATCTGTTCCTAATGTACATATATACACACACGTGTATATCTATAATATAAAGTTATAATTCTGTATTAATACTTCACAGTTTCCAAACCTTGTTCTCTTGTAATTTCGAATCTGTGATTTCCAACATAAAATCAGAGAGGCTACAAGGCTACTGTACATTTATAGCGCAATAAAAGGGATATGTTATACTTCAGATTTTACCCAAGCAAAATGAGTTAGTGAATAATAAATCTGATGAATAGTGCTGATTCAGGTAAATCAGACTATTTCTGTGATTTTAACACTTGTAAAAGGGAAATACTTTGTAAGCAAATGATTCTGCCTTTCAACTTTCAAGCAACTGTTTCAATTTTTCCTTTGTCTTTTAAAGGCTGAAGCAATTCTGGTATGGATTGACACATTTTGCTTTTTTCACATTGATGTTGATACTTGATATTAGGGTATTCTGAGGGGTCTTGAGGTGCTTCTGTGGGTTACAGTTGTGCAGCTTCAATATTCCAGATTTCCAGCTGAAGAAAAAAAGACACTGCTGCTAGTCCATTAACTTCCTTGGTGGTGTGGAGAAGTTGGGCAGTCTCAGTGTCTCGGACAGATCATGCAGACTGTTCTACAGATTCAGTCTCAGCTGGCCTCTCTTCTGATTGGCATGAAATATCTTTAAGTAAAATTTGTGCCCTTGGTCCTTGTACAAGTGAGGCACGTGTGACTGTGTATCAAAAGCATACATTAGGATCGCACTTTTCTATATAGTCAATAGCTAATGAGCGTGTCCCAGTTCTGTATCTTGAGCCATTTGGCAGAGCATGTTTACAAACATAACATGAAATTCCAGTCACCTTTTCAAAGCTTGAGAATAAAGCTTTGTAGGACAGACCAAAATAGAGATGCGAACCAATCTGGAAGTAACAGATGATACGTCTGTAAGGCCAATTTTTTCCTCTGCTGTCGTGTATAGACTTCACACCCCCTTCTCAATGTCTGTGGATTATGACTCCCTGAGCAACCATTGCTACCTGCTGCAGAGATTTTCCTTTTTCTCTCTTTATCTGCTTCCTTTCTGCTTTCCAGGAGGCTTGCAAGACTTTTGCAGTACCTGCTAAACTTAGCTGCTCTCCCTTGGCATGTAAATAACTGCTTCAGTTTTCCTGAGACCGGAGCGTGCAAGGATGGCATCACCATGGAGGAGCCCAGGGCTCCCACGTGTAGGGCAGGGCCAGAGACGCTGCCTGTTGTGTCCTGCTCCTGTACCGAATAGGTGGCGTCGGTCACTCGAGAGACAGTGCTGGCAACGCTTCTTCTGATGACCTTTATTCCCTATATGTAAAAATTTAGAAACTAAATTGTTTAGAAACTAAACTCATATAATATCGGTTAAAACTTGATTTGTGTCTCCTTTTAGCCATAATGCTATGATTAATAGGGAGGAATTATAGCTTGATAGATATTGCTGAAGATCTGCCATTTTTCTTCAAAAATCTTTAGAAATCTATTTAAAAAGCTCACTGCTAGCATGATAATTGATACTATCAGGACAGGATGAAAAGCTCAAAATGGCTTTTCTTCCAGTGTTTTAAGTTTAAAAGATGTATTGTCAATAGTCCTAACAAAATTAGCACTGTAACAAAAATAACATTTCAGTAAATCTTATTGTCCTTACTATTTCTATAATATCCTAACTTATATTTTAAGTTAGCATTGTTAGCAACCCTTAGGTTTACTGCCATTTTACAAAGAATTTGTATATATTATGATACTTGAAAAGGAGCAATAATAGTCACTTTTGTGATTAGTAGCGTTTTTTTTAAATTTCTGTTTTAAGCTTTCAATCAGTTAAAACTTGTTTGATAACTGAGTAGTAGAAATCTTGGAAGCAGTGTATATAATATATACTGTTGAAAGACATATAGTGGTATTAGTGTTTCCAGGTAACAATTATTTAAAAACATTAATTAAAATACCAAAAAAGTAATAAGTTACTATTACAGTACAAAAAAAAAAAAGGGTACCAGATACTGCAGATGCTTTATGTTTTTAAGGAACTTAGCAAATTGTGATTTAGTTGTGCAACATGTGTTACCGTTAATGAGAGCTGCATGGTAATTCTCATGCACCATGTAATAGTTTGTCCCATGGGGCTTTATTTACTGAAAACTCCATTGTGCATAAAGCCAGTTTTACACTTTTTTTTTCCCATGGAATTAGTCTGAGGATCATACACTTGATGTGTTACAAGGGACAGCAATAATAAAAAGGCACAACTGCTAGCTGAGATAAAAGATATAATTTGCAGTAAAGCAGAAATGTGGGTTTAAAATGGAAAATATATGGGTGTGACGTGTGCCCCTTTGTGCTTCTGAACAATGACTGATCATCTGTTCATACTGCAGATAAAACTCCCTAATTGTAAAATATTTGTCTTGTATACGGTAGAACACAAAAAACGGCACCTCACACCTCCTACATTTGCCTTCTATGCATCTATAGAGCTTTGTAAGTATATTAGCCTCATATTCAAAATAAATTGTAATCCAGTCAGGAGGAAAATGTGGATTTTGACAATTAATGTTCAAATGGGGAAAGAAAAAAATGCCCATTTGTACTTGTGATGTAGAATGTGTACACGGGGATGCAGTTACCACGGTAACTGTTGCATCTAGAGACTAGCATGGAGTAAAAGCTCACTATTATAAATGATGAGTGTCAAGCGTAGGTTACACCTGCTGCTGCACAGGTCAAAATTATATTAATGTCTTTATCTGTCTTCTTTGCCCAAGTAGTTCAAAACCAGGAAACATTTCTCGGTTTTGAAATATAAGTTCAGTGAAAATATGCTGAGATTATAGTGACGATACATACAGGCATGATCTATATGATTGTCAGTTCCACAGACTGTACTGAAATTGGTGGTTATCCAAATCCAAGATTGTAGCTTGCAGTAAGAACAGACGGGGAGCTGTTGCGTTATCTATTACTGTGTAATCAGGATGCCCTCAAAATCTTACATTTTTGGGTAGGTATTATTGGATTTAAAGGGTTTATAGTGTTTCCACATAATCATTCTGAATGGAGCAGCACAAGCTAAATACAAAATACAGTATTTTAATCTGTATGTGCAAGATGTAAATACTCAGTAATTTATTACTGTGACTCTTGTGCCTGTCCTGGTGCCTTGTCCCTCTCTGGAGAGGTGGTGTTTGTAGCAAAGCGGCCTTGTCCCTCTCCGGCTGTTTTTATAGCAAGAAGCCCTGGGCAAGGGAAACCCGATATGCGTTTTTGCTGGTGGGTGCCATGCCCCAGTGGACTGCTGTTCAATCGATAGCATCTCCTCCGCTCCTCGCTGCAAGGAGGCTGCGCGGGGCCGTGAGGAGGCCGTGAGGAGGCTGCGTGGGGCTGCTGTGCAGGGCGTTCAGGCCTTGGCTCAGGCCTCCTCCTGTTGCCTGTGGACGCTCTTAACTGGCCCTCCCGCACGGGTGGTTTTCCCTCCAGATACACTTGCCGGTGTTTGGACGAGTTCTAGAAACTTATGGGAAGTATGCTTTACCAGTATTAGACATCCTTTGCTGAAGGAGACACTTCTAATAATGTTAGGCATTTGTTAATGTCTTAATAATCTCTCTAAGGTATTTTGGGTCAGTGTAAGAGAGACGGAAAGGCAGCCATGGCTGACTTGCTGCTGAGAGGTGCAGCTTTAAAATTCATTATTTTGTCTCATTCTCCTGAGTAGGTCTTGGTCACAAAGTATTGCAAAACAAAAGCACCATCTGAAAATAGACATGAAATGTTTTTGAAGGTGAATAAGAAATACACTAGTAGTAAACCTTGATTCCAGTCAGGGCAAACAAGGAGCGACAGTTGCATGTAATACAACATTGAACATTTGCGAGATAGTCATCTCTGCACACCAAAAGATTTGTACAAAAGAATTCAGCATTATTTAATTAGGTGAATTAGTGTAGTGAAATTTCTTGAAGAGGTGAGTAAAAATCTTTTGAAATGCATTGAGGCAGTTTGCTATTTTCACACAGTTACCCTGCCAGCCTTAATATGCAAAACTGCTACTGAATGCCACTGAATTCCGGGTGGGAAGATATAGCCCTGCACGCTAGCTGTGCTGAATAGGGACAGTTTCACCCTGTTTGCAAAGAAGCAGAATGAAAGTTGACCATTCAGTCTGAACTACTATGGTTTCCTGCATGAATGCTTGGTTTCTGAAGCTTCACACTGCAACACAATAACGTTCAGTTTTAGTATAACATTTAGTTGATAGGTATGACTATTGTTCAATAATAAATTAAAGACATGTTAAGGATAACATAAATTTAGTAATAAATTTAAGATGTGCATATTCATAGCATTTAATAAACACATACAATATTATATAATTACATAATTATATTTTAATTAATTACATAGTTTATATTACTGACTAGCCTTCTAAAACAAGTGCATGAGACTAATGGAAATTTGTACCATTCAAGCTATTTCTATGTGAATGTAACAAAGCAGACATTTTAAAAATATCCTATTGCATTTTGGTTATCACAGTCTAGCTTCACAGTACAATATAAGCTTTTCAGCCTGTGAAATCCATTAATAGCCACATTAAACCTTCCCATATTGTATGAATTGTCAGGTATAAATGATTCTTTTTTTTTAAATAATTATCTGTCTCTTCCTTCTTGCAGTTTGTTAAAATGCTATGTCAATTTGCAAAGACTAGGAAAATTTGACACAGAAATTTTAGAGGGGGGAAGGAACTAATCATTGGTTTGCCTAGCATGAGTGCTCAAGTGCGCATGAAGAAAATTAACATTGATTCAAAACATAAATGAAAAATTTTATTCATAAATGGATTATGCCAAAGTTTATCTCAAACTCTTCGGCTTTGAGTGAAGAAAGTAAAATCTGGAAGTAAACTCACTAAGTGTTTTAGAGCTAATATTTATTGAGATGCTTGACAACATGTGTATTTTAGAGGGCTAGTTATTACATGTGTAATTGGAATAGGTGAAGGAGTGTGTGTAGTCTCTTGGTGGCAGAGGGGGCCGCCTCAATGTAACCTACTGAATGTTTTGCTTTTCAGGTGTTCAAAGCTATGAATATTCCTCAGATTAGGAACCCTTCATTGCCTCCTCTCAAAGAGCTGCCTGAAGCCTATCACGCAAAGATAGCTCTGCTTGGCGCAGGACCCGCAAGTATGAGTTGTGCTACTTTTCTTGCTCGCCTGGGCTACTCAAACATCACCATATATGAAAAGCAGGAGTATGTTGGTGGCTTAAGGTAATTTAAAAAAAAAAAAGGCAAAAAAAAAGTTTCCTGTGACTGGAAAGTATAGTAAAAAGACTGTAGATGCCATTTATACATGAACTTTCTGCCTTTTTAAAGGGCATTTCAGTGCAAAGGAGGAAAAAGAATTTCCTATTTGGAGAACGTATTTTTATTTAAATAATCCAATATTCAGGTTAAAGCAGGTGCATTTAAGGGTAACTTTAACTGAGAATCTGATGGATATCTCCTATATTCTCTTCATATGACCTCTAAAAATGTTGATGTTCTATTGTTACTATTAAATTAACACTTCAGAAAATTGTCAGGTACCATTTTCTATGACCCAAAACAATTAAAACATGATGAAGTAGATGTAGTCATGTTAATTGAAATAATTAGTAGATATTTAAAATGCTTTAAAAGAATAGTAATTTAATGAAAAAAATTAAATTCAGAATGCTTTTAAGAACTTATTTAATAAATTAATTATATCTACTTGGACTTGCAGCTTTAGTACACCGTACTGTAATTGGGAAATCAACCTTATGTAATTTCAACCTTCAGCAAATTGTGAATAAACAAAACAATTTTCAGTAAATACACAATTAAGGCAACTCTGCATCTTGTCTGGGTGTAAACAATTGGTGATGTTTCCTTAAGCCCTGGCACTATGTCCTGGACCATGTACTACAAGATGAATGTTTATCACCTTAATTTGTGGTTGAAATGATATCTAAAGTTTGTTGGAATTACTAAATATTAAAAGAATATTTCAGAAGGCCAACTAGTGGATACTAGCCCCCTCAATTAAAATCAAATGTCATGTTTTGCAGTTGTATTCATACTGAAGTGTTCGCAAAATAGCAAAGTGAAAAGAAAGGCAGTAAAAAGGGTGAGGCACTTGTGCTTCTCTCACTGCAGCATCACTGAAATCAATAGAGTTGACACCATTAATGAGTTTGATCCATAATGTCATAATGTCAAATACTTATTCAGTGCCCTGGAAGATAGAGAATCAATGCTGGAAAAGTAGACCTGATTAGGTGCGTATTTTCCACTGAGGTTGCAAAGTATTCTGTCTAATTATCAAGATGTTAATACGTAGGCATTTAACTATGTGAAGCTCTCTTACTAGAGCTAGCTACCATTGAAGAGTGCAAATTTAGTGTGTGAAACATCTATTCACATAATGAAAACACATTATGTTTTTATAAATACTGGATTTAAAATTAATTTACCTAAAAACACTAAGAAGTAATGAACTGTTCTTAACAATGAAACTTTACCCACTGACAGATCAGACCCATGCAAGATGCAGTAATATAATGCTGCTATTAATTCTGAGGGGAAAATAATACAGTACTCCTCCAGTTGCTTGCAGCGTGTGATGGTGCTTGCATATTTGAAGAAATGTGATTTTAAACTGCAGTTCTTTAATTTGAATTAAAGATTAATTTTAGTCAGTTTTGTTCTAATGCATACAGCTTTCCTCTAGGATTTGCTTGGCCTTTTGTTATCTTTTAATGGACAAACAATACATTTTACATCTTTCCTGCTTTTGACTCTTAAAGAATACATAATGATAATGGTCAAATTTAACTTCCATTCATTGTAAAAAGTTTGTGATTAAAGTTTGTGTCAAAAGTGTGTGATTAAAGGCATCAGTTCCTTTTGCCCTTATTTTAATCTTGGAAGAGAAGGGAAGCTGACCTATGGCAACAGTCATGCATTATTGCAGTTACAAGCCTTTGCTGTTCCTTTTAACAAGTCTAAGTTATTGATAAGTGTTTTCATGGCTTCCTAAACCATGGCAAATGGCTAACAGGACTGAGTTAATTTTGTATTCAGATTCAGCTGTTTGCCAAGGCAGTGCTTGGGCCCTTTTTTTTCTCTGTCTTGTTTTAGGTAATTTTAACTAGACAATCCCTTCACAAATATATAAAGATCATAGCTATCTTGGATGATATTCAGATTATTGAAAGCCTAGAATGAATCTGTAGTTACCTGTATGTCTGCACCTTATTTTTTTCTGTGCATAATTTTCTTTCATTTCCCTATTAGTGCAAAGTTAATGCATTGTAATAGAATAGACAGGAGCAGGGCTTGCTCAGGGACAGTGGATGTGCTGCGCCATTCATGCTCCTGTCTATGTGACTCCCTTAGAACATATCAAATGTTTCTCTTTTTTGGCTAAAGAGGTGATCCTTGGACAAAAGTAATTTGGGATTACCAAGAAGTACCAAGCACCTTTAACTGGGATAAGATTTGAGAAAGACATGAATGCATGTGACCAGTCCAGAATTCTGTGCATCCTCCTCCTGCTCCTCCACCCTGCTTTCTTCTTCTTTCTCTGTGTCTCTGATGTTGCTGCTGAAGGAAATTTAGCATAATTATTGATGTAGAGGTTGACAGTTATAAAATATTTATTTTCATGTTAATGTGCATGCATGTGTCCACACAGAACTGTATTTGCATATGCACATGTACATATATTTATATGTACATATATGCAGAGTGCATATGCATATGTAAACTGTAACACAGAACTGTAAGTAAATTTTTAATATGAGCAGAAAAAGTGTTTACAAATTGAAAGAGTGCATAATGCAGCTAGTGCTCTGTTTGAGCCTCGCTCTAAGAGGTAAGGAAATGTTGGACCTTCAACAAATACGTGTGGTTTATAAAATTGAAACTTCCTTTTTTTAATTAGATTTCTTTATTGAATCTCTTTTGCAGAATCACACTGATCTGTTATTCTGCCTTGAACACCATTTTGCTTAGCATGACCTATGAGAGCAGCATTGTCATGATACGTTTGCTGTGTCTGATATTTAGAACGCTTCATTTCACATTGTTCAGAAAAGGTGCAAAGTGGTCAATATTAGAAATCATAAAAAGAAGACACGCTAACTTCTTAGCAGTATAATTGAGGTTGATGCAATTTAAAATAAATAAAATCATTCTGGTCTGTCAAAGTTAGATGTTAAAGGTGAAATATTCAATAGCAAATGTAAAATAAAGCTGGCATGAATCTCCCATGCCAGTGCTTCCTTATGAAATCATAGATCCATTAATTGGACAACAGATGACGCTAGTAGAAGCTTAGAAACATTTGGGAAGACACGTTACTTCCCTGCATACTTTTCATCTTCATTGAATAAAATTATTTAAAATGAATTCATTGTGTTTACCTGTATAGTGCTTTACAAGACAGTTTTTGAACTAGAATAAATAGGTGTAGTTCTGTTGGAGCGAGAGGTCTGTATGGATGGATGTAAACTGAGATTCTGTGCTGGCACTGCAGTTCTCCCATACAGTAAACCTGTAGTGCCAGGAACAACTTAAAGATGTCATTACTAATCCTCTCCAAGAGAAATAACAGCAATTAATAATAAATAGTATGTCAAAAGCTGGACGTGAGTCTAAGAGCTGATATAAAATCACTGACTTGGTACATTCTGAAAGATCATAAAAATTTAAGAAGTAGAAATGGAGGAGGATGCGGTGTTAATTGCAGTTGCTCAAAATAACATGTACAACTTTCTTTTAAATTTTGTTAAAATTTGATTCTTCCCTACTGGATATCTTAATGACTGATTGAAGATTGCTATGTGTTAAGTAGCCAAAAGAGCTAGCCTTAAATGTCTTAAGTTTGTTTGATGTTACAGGTTCCGTATGGTGGACAAGAGTGGAGTCTAAACTCTTGTGAATCTGATCATATCTGTTAATGGTTACCTGCAAGTCTGGGCAAGAATGGCCACAAGGCATTCTTGGCCTGTGTTTTTAGTCACTGAGAAAATAATGCTTTTCTGGCCGCTCCTTAGTCTCACAATTAAAATCATGAGAGTCTGGCTTTGCCACATTTCCACTCAAAGACATTAAATATATCTTAAATGCGTGCTAGAAGGTTGATGTTTAACAGCTATATAAAAAAAATCCTTTCTAATATCTCCAAATGCTTCAATGCCTTACTTTTCTATTTTATTTTTTATTTTGTTTTAGTACGTCTGAGATCCCGCAGTTCCGATTGCCGTATGATGTAGTGAATTTTGAAGCTGAGCTTATGAAAGATCTTGGAGTGAAGGTAATGAAAAATATATCCTGCCTACGTATAGCTCAGAGGAAAAAGAGGAGGAACTCTGGCAAAGATTAACAGCAAAATGTCATGCACATTAGTAAAGAACAATTAAAAACTACACTAGACAGAGGCAGAAAGATGCTTCCTCTTGCTCAGGGCATTTGTCTGTCTGCTGTCTGAATGCCACTAGTTTGGAAAAGGGCAATCAATAGTTCTCATCTGGCATGCCTGCATGTGATTAATTGTCTGTAAGAAACAAATTCCTAAATTGCTTTAGGGGTTCAATGTAGCTATTAGAATGATTTGATTTTTTTTTAATCGAGTTTCTTTTTTTTTTTCTTTTTTTTTTTTCTTCCCTCATGCAAGTTTGGCAGTATTTAAAGCATTTGCATTTGACACTTCTCCCTTTTCTTCTTCCTTCTCTCCAAGATTTTTCTTCATGGTTTGTAATACAGTCTTGCATCCAAGTTAATTTTATGGCAAAATGCATCAAATCAAAGCGTTAACGTGATCTTCTTAAATAGTAGCAGTCATCCAGCTTTTTGGAAAGCAAGAGTGGTGTATTATTCTGATAAACAGATAATGATGGGAATATTACTTTATTAATTTAGGGATTGAACTGAAGATTTAGTGCTAACAACTCCTGCGTATTTTAAAGGAAGTTAGAAGGCGGAATGAATCACTGGACTGAATTTTTCAGTAGTAGAAGGGATAATAATCTATTGCTGACATGATTCTTCAGCATTCAGTCAAGCAAGAAATTCTTGGAATTGTTAATATTGGTTCGTACTGTAAAGGCAGTAGACTGTTGTCACAAAACCCAGGTGAGATGAGACCCATGCTGATAAGATGTAAAGAGGCTTTAAATGCTGAAGATTTGATTTCCATCTTAATGATGGCTTGCAACCATTGAAAAGACTGACAGAAAGATAGTTGGGTCAAGAATAGAGCTAAAAACAGAGCAATGAAGTTATTTCAGACAAAATTGCTGGACATAGGCACCTGGGAACAGTCTTCAAAACTCATGAAGATTCTCAGGGCTCTCCGTGTTATGTCAAGGACTGGTAGAGCCACCACGTGTTGCTGACCTGCAGGTCCTTGGCTACTTTGAACTGCAGTAGAGACTTAGTGTAAATCTGTTGCCAGGCTCTGCCGTTGATGTGCAGTTGACCCTTTGGTGAGCTTGCTAGCTAAGTACCATGCTTTACACCTCTATAAGCTACAAATATTTTACCGTGTTTACTTAGAACATTTAAAATCTGTGGTGGAAGAATGCTGTATTGTCTACATGCTCAGTAGTGTTGTTTATTCAAGTAATTCTATTGAAATTAGTAAGAATTACTCAGGTGAATAAGGATTACAGAGCTAGGCCCTAGGAGTATTATGAATCCCCACATAAAACAGTATTGCCATTTAAATTCCTTCATTAGGCTTTCATAACATATGTACACAATAGGATAAAAGAAAAAAAGCATAATGGCAATTTATAAAATGTGTTTTGTTGCCAGCGAGGATGTAGTCTGCATTCAAGAAAGGATTACAGCTATACATGGCTTTTGCACTTCTGATATAAATTACACTAAATCTACAAATGAAAGAAAGTCTTTCAGTGTGATACACTGCATGTAGCTGAATACAGGGCAAATTCTTTCCCTTGCGCCACCCTTGTAGCAGCTGCAATTGCTTGACCTGAATGGTGGCTACTCAGAGTGGGATTGCTGTGTGGGTAGAGCTCCACAGGTATTTTTCAACTTTTATTTTTTTGGTTTTGTCCTAAAAGTGACTGTTGAACTGAAGCATTGGTTTTGTAGACAGGTTTACCTTGTTTTACCTTATCCTAGAAGCCAAAGTAGCCTGTGGTGAGTCTTACTCAAGGATGATGTGAAGCTCCCCTTTCCCATATCTAGTATGGACCGCATGCTTAAACAAGAGCCAGTCTGACCTTTCAAGTTCAGCTTGGGGAAAAAAGTAATTTGCTTTGTTCACTAGAATATCCTTTGTGGTTTCAGTATGCAGGACATGCTGGAAGTGATTTTTGCATTATCAAATTAAAAACCATAAATCTTCATGTTTTTTTAGGTCATTTTTGGTAAAGGCCTTGCAATAGATGGAATGACGCTCCATACCTTGAAAGAAGATGGTTACAAAGCAGTCTTTATTGGAATAGGTAAGAAGAGCTCGTGCTCCCATGTTTTGTCGTCTTGAAACTGGGTGACTGAGAATAAATTGGGGCTTGTATCTGCCTTAATAGCATGATGTGTGACAGCTTTAGTCTGATGCTTTAGGAAAATATGGAATATACTGACAATTTTAAAACTAGGAAGATAAAGCTACTGTCTTAATATAGCTAAATTAAGATAGCTGTTTATTATAATTTTTACATTTACAAGATATATTTGTAAGTAGGACAGTAATATAGCTGAATGGCTTAATTTATTGTTTATTTAAATAGCTCAAAAGTGGATGAACTGAAAAATTACTAGTAATTAATTGCCATATTGGTATAAGGGGCATAAAAGCTTAGTATTCAAATGTGAAAAACTTACTGTGCCCATATAATTAGTGAGCCTATGTGTAATCCAGTGATGTCATGCATGATTGCTTTTTCTTTTCTCTATATAAAACATGTAGCATATTTCAGATAGGCTGTAGTGAAATCTAATTATGGAATGGGCTAACAAAATAAGCTGACTTTGAGTTATACTGAAACTGGCATCATAGGTCTGTCTTCTCTCACATGCTAAAAAAAAAAAAAAAAAAAAAACACTAAAGTCTCGCACCTGTCTGCAATTTGAATCATTGCTGCTTTTAATGTTAGATTAGAATTGTTATCCATTTACGAGTATTTTGAAGTACAGCTGGACCCATCTTTTCCATACGATAGCCATGTTGAGCAGGCACCGTCTACAGTTGGTATGAAGCTTAATGCTCTTTATTGATCTAGACGTTGCCTAAGTGAACATAATAGGGAACAAGTTGTCCAACTGTTCCTCCTTCCTATTATTGATTACAGAGATGTAATTCTTAGTACAGCGACAACTGTTGTTTACCATCTGGGTATGCTGTATAATAAGCTTTGCAGGTTCGTCCTCTCATGTGATTATAGTACAGACCATTGTGATTTATATATTCCTAAATCCTCATATTGTTAGACACCTCTCGTGTGGGAATTTCTTCTGGGAGATATTTTGATGATATTGTGTACAGAGCACTGGACTAGCTTATCTTTATTGTTTTAATCTGTGCCTTTCAAAATGTTTTGTGAAAGCTCACAAATTAGGTAGAAATGCATGAATAAACCTTTGTTTTCTCAGAAGCTAGCATTTGGGAGGAAATGATCAATTATTATTGGAAAACCAATGGTTCCTGAGTCAGAAATTGAAAGCAACTTTCAGTTAATGGGTACTCAGAATGACCAGTTTTCACAGAGGAGGATTGGAATATTTGTATTGTATGCGTGAGCTTATTTTCTGACCATAATGAAGCTATCCTACTATTGAATATTTTTGGTAAATATTTTTGCTAGGTAAAGGAACAGAGTCAAGGCTTTAATAAACAAAAAGAAAGTTATTCAAAGAATAATTCTCCCCTTCACCACATGTTGCCTGAATGTGTTTGGAAACAGGGTATAAATGCTAATGAAGGATTATGTGTTCCTACACAGTATTAGAAACCCTTGTGCATTCATGATGGAGTTGGTGTGTCTCTGCTCCCAAGTGTGCCTGGCATCTCTTGCACAGTTCTGCAAAAGACACTGGCTGGTCCTTGTGGTCTTGCGTGCTGGTAGTGAGAGATGGGCAGTGAACCAAGGGGCAATAGATTTCTAGGATCAGTTTTGATAAATGCAGTAGAACATTTATAAATCTCTCAACGCCATCTGTACTGTACTCCAAGTTTTGTGTTCTTTGCCTACTGAACAAGCTTGTGCTAAACAATTTGTATGTAACTATGAATCTCTTAAGTGGAATATTTGCAGAATACTAGTTGCATGGAAGAGTTGAGAATTGTGGGATTTTTTTTCCATAGCAATGCGATTTTTGAAGAGCATAAATTAAGAAAAGAAAGAGTCTCTCCAGTTAGGAGATCTAATCTGTTTAGGTCAATGTTTAAAGCATTCAAAATGTTGTGTGCTAGACCTGGAAATGATCAGATAGCCAGGGTGTGCCATCAACCTTTGCAATCTACGCTGTCTTGGTTTGGGAGCACTCCCTTACCTCTGTGCTGTTTTACTCTGCATCTCAGCTTTCCAGATATGGCATGTCTGAGTGTGAGGTTGAAGAGACTGATAAGGAATATGAGGCTACAAGAATGGATGCTACTCTAAAATAGATTAGATGCCAACTTTTTAAGATTTAATTCAGTGGTTATTTAAAAAATGATGACTGAAAATTAAGAGATGTAGTTTATGAAAATTTTGGTGTTTGAAAAACAAGTCTTATCTCAATTGCTGCCTTATGTAAGCACTGTAGAGACTTAGGGCAACAGAGAATAAGCAAGTTTAGAGTGAAAAGTATAAATCGGTGGTAAATTAGTATAAATCTAATCCTCAGAGATAGCAACGCAAGGCATGAAAGGGTGTCTTCTGGAGAACAGAGTAGCCTGAGCACTTTATGCTGCTATGTCTCTTGGTTGGATTTTGGAGTTGAATATTCTAAGATTTTTTTCAGGAAATTGTTATGTCTGCGCATCTCACTTGACTGTCAGAGCAAACGCAGAGCTTGTAGGCCCTTATTATTCTTCCCTCATGAATTTTAGTTAACTTATTTGCAAACCAAGTCTCTGTCTGAAGAGTTCACAAAGTATTGTATAATATTTTTGAAAGAGAAAAATACAAAACATATTTTTAATACAAATATATATTGAAATGAAAATGAATGACTGAAGTATTAAAAGCAGTTAAGGACATGTCTGAAAACTTCTGAAGAAGTATCTAGAAAGGCTATCACCATAAATATTTTCTCTGCAGATTTTTATGCAAACCTGTATACTTACTCTTTAACATTTTGTTGTAACAAGGATTTTGTGTAACATATGTGTTCTCTTGCGTATAAAGATCAGATAAAAATGTATCTTCAACGATGATTTTACAGGTTAAAAAAAAAATGTGTATCTATAAAAATCCTAAGCCCACATTCCCAGAAATGACAGAGGCGCCTCAGCTTAACTGTGTGTGTGGGCTTACAACTAAACTGACAGACATAACTAACTTACTAGTTAGCTCTCACTATAGTGCAAATGCAACTAGGAATGAGGGTTTCTTGTTTTTGTCCATCTTGTGATGCTGGATTGCTATGGAGACAATTTTATTGTATTAGGCTTGTCAGAGGTTCTACTACAAACTGAGAAATTACAGCTTGTAAGAATGTACTGAGTAAATCCAAGTGCAGCCTGTTTCTTGTACATATTCTAAATAGTGTACCCTCCTTGCAAGGGTTAAAGTGGTGTATATAAAAAGTAAAAAATCCCGTGTGGAAGGAACCTTTGCAATAATTGCATTCGTTCATAGTTAATTAACATAGCATTTAAACAATAATATAATTAGATGATTTCATTGATTGGAATGAAATTACACACCTAAAAGGGAAATTAAAAGTCCAAGCATTGATGGGCCTTTTTTTTTTTTTTAAACAAAACAAAAAACACCTTGGGAGATTGATTTACTGTCTCTTCCCCAAAAAGTAAGTAATCTCGTCGTGCCTGTTGTTATCTTCTGATTAACTATGCAGTGCCACCTGGTGTGCAGATGGGAAGAATATTACACATCAAGAGCACTGTTCACACCCACCCACACAGATATAAACCTACGTGGCAAAAAGTGAACAGATGTTCATTTTGCTTGTGCTATAGGGAGAAATTGTGGATCTTACTCCTGATTCATAAACTAAATTTGGAGAACATGAAATCTGCATATGGGGCCCACAGGCCCATGGCCAACAAAGACATTTATGGAGGAATATGTCGTATTCAAAACTGGTCTCATTTCAGGTTGTGTACAAATTTTTTGTTTGTTTTTTTTTCTGGCTTTGTTTTCCTGAATGTTTTTTTCTTCTCACTTTCTATTTCACTTATCACCTCCAAACAGTAAAGTTTAGAGTCAGAGTCATTTGAAACAATATCCAAGCCCTATTTGTCGATTGGTTGTATTTCAAAATTGTGTTTTCTGTTTCTTGGCTTTTAAGATGGTCCCTTAAATTATGTTCAGGCCTTTTGGCAAATGTAGATGAGCTGATGTAGCATCTCAGTGAAAGATGGAATTGAAGTGCAAAGCATTGTGCAGCTTCAGGCTCTTAGGATCTGCAGCTCTGGAGGTTTTTTTGGTTGTGTTTTGTATTATTACATAATGTCATTAGTATTTTGATACCTCATAGGTGATGTGGTATTTTGCTGCAAGGAAACTGAAGCCTAAAGATGAGATAAAACACAAAAGCAGAGGAGAAAAGTAATATGTTAAAGGTAGTGCAGGAAAGAATGATGTTGATGGAAACATGATCATCTAGGTACTCAAAATAAATGCGTATGTAACTCGGTTCCTGAGTTACTTTTACTGATATTGTAGATAAGGGTCAATGTTGCCATCATGTCAGAACCCTGCAAGGAGGGTGCTTTTCACTCAGGAGGCAGATGGTGACAGCAGCGGCCTCGTAGGTTTGAGGCCACTGAGTCTCCTTTATCTATTAAAGGAGGTTTAGTTTTAAACTTATCTTTATTCCCAGTGCACCATCATTCCTGGAGGTGAACAATGTACATACATTCAAGAATTTTTATGTTTGAGACATCTTTTTTTTTTACTACTGGCATTTGTAATAATCTGTTCTTCCAGTTCTGTAGTTTTCACTGCTGCTCTGGATGTTGGTGGAACAGTCGTAATACACATCAGAAGCACTAGGCAGTTGAAAGCTTTCAGAGTTCAGATCACAAAACAGCTTATTTATTATTAATAGTCCTAGGACACTTTCAGAAAATACTAATAATCTGCCTTTGGGCATCCTTCAGTTTTTCACTTGCAAATTACACAGACCTTCATGCTCTTATTTACTTATCTTTCCTACCAAAAAACTACTTAGCATAACAATCTCTACTGCACATGTTTTACAAAACTCTCTCCTGTCTCTTCCTAAGATGCAAGACTGTTTCCCTGAAGAAATGCTCATCTAAATACGGTGACAA